TTTGATTGGTATTACCGGAACAGAACATTTAGGGGAAAAGTCCCCTAAAATTCCTAAAAAGTTCCCCTTATTTTGGGCTCGAAGATTTTTTTTTTCATAATTTAAACCAGCTAGATGTACTTTTTTATTCGTATTTTTTTATTCGCATTACTTGCTGAAACTTTTTCTGATTATTGAACTTTTATAAAGAAAAATTATTGAATTTTTGGATTAGCGTGTCTGTGTGGCCGGCATGAACTATTGCTATACACATGAGATCTAATTACGGATATGCCGATAGCTGTGTGACGGGAGAAGGGGGGAGGGTGCCATTAGAGCTCTTATCATTTTCCTGGTTTCTTTAGTTTTTGAATTTGAAAGTGGCAAAGAAAAATTTTGCATATTTTTCGCTGTGCTTTTATCAGTACTGATTTAGTTTGGGTCGAGTGTGTCAAATGATATCTGCTGGCGTAAGTGTGGATTCCATCGATGAGTTGAGCACAAGAAATACCACTCTGCATTGGGCAGCATCATTTGGCAACGAGGACGTGGTGAGGTGAGGAATCATTCCAAAATGTCTACTCTTGGCATTTCTCTGTATTGGTATTTCTCTTAATTTTAGCCTTCAGTGCTGCAAAAGAGATCGAAATTCAGGACTCTGTGTCAGAGTGGTGCATCTGTAAATACGCCAAATGCGAAGGGTGAGATAGCATTGCATGATGCGGTCCGTCGTGGAAATGAAGCTGTTGTGAAATGCCTGTTGCAACATGGAGCGGATCCGAGTTACAAAAACAAGGACGGAATGGACTGCCATGAACTGGCCACAAAACTGGGAGGTGCTATGCTGTCCAGTTTGAGCATGAACACGTAATTTTTCTTTTTTTTTTTTAATTTTCCACTGATGTGTTGAAACTCGCTCGAAATTATAATTTATCACAAATTTATAATAATTTTATCAGAATAATTTTGCGATTTTTATTAATTTCTTAATATTACTTTCTCTTCTCTTCTTTTTCCTACTTCAAAATACCTTTCTATTATATCGAGGAAAGCTTGCTCAGTAGTAGTCAGTCATTTAAGAACCCCCGTCTTGTGCCATTTTCAGCGATAAACAGAAATCATTGCCCGAACACTTTA